AGTTCTTTTATTGTTTTAATAGTAACACTTTACTATGGAAGCCCATTTCCGCCACTGAATAAAAAATAAAACAAGGTAATTGCGACTTTTTATCTCACAATTCTGACTTTTTTTTCTCAGAACTGCGAGTTCATATCTTGCAATTCTGACTTTATGACACGCAATTGCGAGTTATAGTCAAAATTGCGAGATATAAAGTCAGAATTGCGAGTTATAAAGTCAGAATTGCGAGATATAAAGTCAGAATTATGAGTTTTTTCTCGCAATTGTGAGTTTATATCTCACAATATCTCAAATTGTGAGTTATAAAGTCAAAATTGCGAGTTATAAAGTCAGAATTGCGAGTTATAAAGTCAGAATTGCGAGATATAAAGTCAGGATTGCGAGATATAGTCAGAATTGCGAGATATAAAGTCAGAATTCTGAGTTTTTTCTCGCAATTGCGAGTTTATATCTCACAATATCTCAAATTGCGAGTTACAAAGTCAGAATTGCGAGTTATAAAGTCAGAATTGCGAGTTACAAAGTCAGAATTGCGAGTTACAAAGTCAGAATTGCGAGTTATAAAGTCAGAATTGTGAGTTATAAAGTCAGAATTGCGAGTTATAAAGTCAGAATTGCGAGTTATAGTCAGAATTGCGAGATATAAAGTCAGAATTGCGAGATATAAAGTCAGAATTGCGAGATATAAAGTCAGAATTGCGAGTTATAGTCAGAATTGCGAGATATAAAGTCAGAATTGCGAGTTATAGTCAGAATTGCGAGATATAAAGTCAGAATTGCGAGTTATAAAGTCAGAATTGAAAATTGCGAGTTACATAGTCAGAATTGCGAGATATAAAGTTGCGATTCTGAGTTTTTTTCTCGCAATTGCGAGTTTATATCTCACAATTCGGACTTTCTTTTTTTCTCACAATTGCGAGTTTATATCACGCAATTCTGACTTTATAACTTGCAATTGCAAGAAAAAGAAAAAGAAAAGAGCCAGAATTGCTGAGTTTTTTAAAATTGAGTTTATATCACATAATTCTGAGAAAAAAAAGTCAGAATTGTGAGATAAAAAGTCACAATTACCTTGTTTTATTTTTTATTTAGTGGCGGAAACGGGCTTCCATACTTTACAATAAGGTCCCATAAGTTAATAAATTAACTAACGTAAACTAACAATGAGTTACATTTGTTAGAGAATTTCTTAATCTTTGTTAACATTAGTTAACAAAAATACAACTGTTCATTGTTAGCTCATGTTTAATTAATATTCACATATTAAACTTGATTTCAATAATCAGTATTAGTTACTGTTTAAAGTAACATTATTAAGACTTTATTTTTTACTTTAGAAGCATTTTTCATTGTTGGTTAACGTGATCCAAGTAGTTAAGTAAGTTAACAATAGGAACCTTATCGTAAAGTGTAACCTTTTTATGATTTAATATCCTGTTTCACTTGGATAAATGTCACATTATTGAAGAAAATAGCTTGTGAATTCCTTTTTTAATGTTATTCTCAATATCATTTTCCCTGACAGTCTATTTATTCCCTTAACACACAATTATTGAATGATTGACAACTCAATGAACCGCAGGTATGATTGAACCTTGTGACCATTCAGTAAATGAGATTATTTTCCCACATATAATTACAAATTTGCATCAGTTTTCCATTGTTTTGTCGGGAGCCGTCAGCTGCATCGTCTCGTCACGTGAAGTAGGGGTCCGAGCCGCATCCGCGTCCTTCATCAGGATGTCGCGCAGCTCTGTGGTCATGCGATACGGCCGCGCTGCAGAGCCGTCACTGCGCTCAAGGTCTTCACCTTTGTGTGGTGTTAGTGATGTTTAGTAATGTAAAGACAAAGCAATTGTGTAGGTATGATAAATGTGAAATTGGGTTTGTGAGGAACAGATGTTAAAATATGAAGGTGTTGAATAGAAAACCCAAGGAGGAATGTTGGGGGGGGGACAGCCATAAAAAGGAGAAAGAGAAAAAGAAAGAATCAGGTTATTATGAGATGAAAGACAGAAAAGCATATCAGTCCCATTGAAATGCCACACCTTAGTTAAGCAGGTACCATAGACGGATTAGAAACACCTCATACCAGAATACATAACTGGAATGCAGATTAAATCCTCAGTCTAAGGTGCCTTGAGAGGTTTAAACCGAGCTACATGCACTGCCATGCGCAATGAAGAGTCAGTCGGATCATTAGTGACACGAGGCTTCATCCAAAACAGATTCTATATTTCCCTAAATGCAGCGCTAAACCATTTTTAAAGGATCGCAAATTAAAATTTTAAAGTAGGGGATGTACATTTCTTTGAATTGATTTTCTACCTTCCAGAGTGGACCTTGACGGCTTGATATTTATACTCATACTAGCGGTTTCTGGAGTTAAAACATTTATTAATGGCAAGTACTCACAGAAGCAGAGGAAGAGTGTGTCCACACACATGGCATAAACGCTGAAAAACCCATGTGCAATGAGGTAGGAGCCCACCAACACAGTCTGGAGAAAAAACACAGACATACATATTCAGACAGACAGCTGCAGCTTTTATTTAATTTGTCTATAAATACAGGTAGCACACATGCATACACTACTGTGCAAAAGTTTGGTTTTTATTTTAAAGTGATAGTTTTATTCAACAAATAATATAAGATTTCTATTCCAAATATATGTTTTTCAAACTTTGTTCAATAAAGAATTCTGAGCAGATGATTTCTGATCATGTGACACTGAAGACTGGAGTAATGATGCTGAAAATTCTGCTTTGATCACAGCAATAAATTACATTATAACATAGATTCAAATAGAAAACTGTTACTTTAAATTGTAAAAATATTTCACAATATTACTGTTTTCACAAGATTTTTTAATCAAATGAATGCAGCCTTGGTGAACATAAGAGACGTCTTTCAAAAACAAAACAAAAATACAAATCTTACTGACCCTGAACTCTAATTGCTGTGTCTTTATTTTCCAGCATGGCCATTATTTGGACATTACAATTTAGACAGATGAGTTCATTAAATAGAATATTGTTCTTTTACATTTTTATTTTATTTCATTTATAGTCACACTCGATCACTCACCAAAATAGGAACCCAGTAGTAATGGAGACTGGGTGCGGCACCCTTAAACGCATCTGTATGTCCTGAGAAGAAGAAGAAAGCGAAGATCCCTGGGGGAAAAAAGGGGGATTGAGAAAGCCACTTGATGTATTCCATCAAATTGTAGTTCACGTTTTTCAGTATTTAAATCTAATGTTTAGTTCAGTGTTATATAACCGGTCTAAACTAGGAAACTTACCCACAAGCCCCACAATAAGGAGTTTTCCAAGGAATAAGATGAAATCGGTGACCTTATCCAGGACTACCACCCTGTGACGAGTGAAAACATCTGTGAAACATTCGTCAAATTCAGCCAGCCAACACCAGCTTACAAAACCTTGTAGTGCCTTACTTCCTACACCTTGCCTTTTGAACTATTTTTAATTATTGGTCTATGTTCAAATGCATGCACTTCTGTTATCAGCATCATGTTTCATTGTTTGTTAGTGCTTCACAACATGAGCGTTGCACTGTCAATTGAAATATGTTAAAATCCTGCACTCAGTTTCAATTCCTTCAACCCTACAGTTTGAAGATGTCACCCACCTGATTACGTTTCTCATGAGGAGGAAGAAGGCATCACGTGCTGATCGGCAGAAGTTTTTACCATATATGGCCACCTGTGGCAGAAAAAAAAGCACTTATTCAGCAAAGACTGCATTTAGAGATGCTATTAAGATTACATACAGTCACTTGTGTAGGCATCAGGGGGAAAAAATGAACAGTTGACAGTTTAGTGAATGGGTGCCGTCAGAATGAGAGTTCAAACAGCTGACAAAAAGATCACAATAATCTACAAGTTATCCAAAAAACTCCTGTCCATCAATTAACATCTTGTGAAGTGAAAAAGCTGTGTTTGTAAGAAACAAATCCATAATTAGAATTTTTTTTTTTTTTACTTCAACCTGTCGCTTCCAGCTAAAATAGTCCTCTATCTATAAAATTGCTTTCTTCAATAGAAAAAGTCATCTGAATCAGGAGAGAAATATTCACAGATCAAGCACGGTTTACAAGTGTAAACCATTCAAAACAGTTCTAAACAAATATGTGAGTGGATTTTGAGGTGAGAAAACAACAGGTGATGGACTTTTTTTCTGGAGGAAACTTTATTATGGATTATGGACTAGAAGCTGGAAGCAATGGTTTAAAGTTAAAAAAGCCTTAATGATGGATTTGATTCTTACAAACACGCAGCTTTTAACTTCACAAGACATTAACTGATGGACTGGAGTGGTGTGGATTACTTGTGGATTATTGTGATGTTTTTATCAGCTGTTTGGACTCTCATTCTGACGGCACCCATTCACTGCAGAGGATCCATTGGTGAGCAAGTGATCAGATGTAATGCTAAATTTCTCCAAATCCAAAAACACACTCATCTACATCTTGGATGGCCTAAGGGTGAGTACATTTTTAGCAAAATTTAATTTTTTGGTGAACTATTCCTTTAAGTTGCAGTGGAAGAACACGGACCATAATGTAGGCGTTCCTGTTCATAAACTTGATGAACTTCTCCAGGCACCAGAAGCAGCATTTCAAACAGCACAACAAGAACTTGGCAAATTTATTCTCTGCTCCTGTGGGACCAAAAGAAAGCAAAAGAGTTCACACACAAAACAGATTATTGTGAACAGTGCAGGATACGGCAATGGATAATGTTCGGCATCACCTCAAAACGGGAAGCTGCAGGGTCTCTAATCACCCTAAAATGGTTTATTTTGCAACAATGACCAGATGAATGTACATTAACCAGCTCATTACATGACTACTTATAAATAAATAAAAGGACATGAATAATTGATCTGAGTTGACGTTATTTTATTATGTGAAAAGAAAGAGACTGCAGAGTAATCCGATAGACATGAAACTACCATAGCTCTGTAGGAAAATAGTCAATTACATGCGTCAACAGTCATTATATGCACATTCCATAACATATTGCAGTGATTAAGCAATTAGATCAATTTTTGATCTGTTAATGTTTTTCTCTTACCCTTGAGTTTGTGATCAATATACTCCAGCAGAACCCTGATAATCTGGACGATGGCGAGGATGAGAGAACCAAATGCGAGAGAGCCTGTGTGATATCTGTGTGTGGACAAAATGCATCAAATATATCAACTAAATCGTGCTTAGGGCCCAAATGACACACTTTGCTAACATGCATATTGCATACATCTTTTTCTAAAGCCATACCTGAGGGATCTGCCCAGAGAGGCACACAGCGGGTATGCAGGCATGTCATTGGGCTTTTTAGGAGCCCAGTAGTAGGATGCAAATGCCCCTGCCAGAGTCATCTGACCCAGAGCAGTGACAAAGTTTGCACACCAGAAGAACAGGAAGACATTGTAGAACTGAAGGACGACCAGGTATTTGTGATATGGCGTTTCCCCACCATAGAAAGCAAACAGGCACTCAGACCGCGGACAGTCTCTCTTCATAGTAGAAAGAGTGAAGTTCTGGAAATGTGAAACAGGGATCATTCACTTTAGGACTGTACTACATATTCAAAGTAAAAAAAAAAGTAATGTATAAAGTGTATAATACAGGGTAATGTGTGTAATATTTTAACACTATGATTATGCATGAATATGTATTTACGCACCTCAGGGTCACAGGTTTGCCTTGCATGTGGACAATCTGTTTCGTTGAAAACCTTATAAACAGGTTCACTGGATGTAGAGAGGAAACTGATCAGAGCAATTAAGGACTAGTACTGGTGTGATCTCGTGACAAATATGTTAAACACGTGACTTTTATAGACAATACTGTGTTTAAAGAAGTGTTTTGGATATTAGATTACCATATACAGCTATTATGGCTGAGTTGCTGGGAACTTTATTGCTATAAAATATCCCTAACATTATCTTCTTAAATAGATAAATATATATCTCCACTGACAGTCATTCAAAAGTATCTGTGTATTCAGATTTAATATTTTATTTATCTATTTTTAAATTATGTAATTTAAAATGATATATTAAATTTAATTCAGTTTTAGTAGATGTATTGCCTGATGGTCATTCAAAAGTATTTGTGTATTCTTTTTTAATATTTATTTAAATTTGTTTTTTTGTTTGTTTTTTTATGTAATTTAATTTTGGTCGATGTTTTGACAGTGCCCTGTTCTTTTCCTGGAGGTTCCTTAAATCATGCAATGGACTTACATTTGTTTGCTTTAGTGAGTGACTCAGGAGGTGACCTTTTGCCCATTGACCTTCCTTTAGAGTGATTTTAATTAAGATTAAGTGAGTGACTGTAAGATGCAAGCTCCTGTCTAATAGTGCCAACACTGATTAATGTTTCCACTTCAGTCTTGAGCCAAGGATACACTGCAGTGACGCCCCAGTACGCGATGACTATGGTCAGGAGGAAGAAGGTAAAAATAGGGTAGAACAGCGAAGACATCACATAACCCACAGCCCTGAAAGAGGACAAAAAAACACAAGACTTAAAGGTAAAACAAGTACCACGTCTTTAAACTTTAATGACAGGCAGAATCCCCGTAACAAGAAGATGTTGATGTGGAAACGTCATGTCTTTACTACGGTTTCATATGGATTCCCAAAAACACAAACCTGCTGGCCTCCTTCATGAGCTCAACAGCGATCCGGATTCGTTTCCTGAGGAAGATGAGGAGAATGATGATGATGACCTCCAAAATGGCCAAGATGATGACTGCAGAGAGGAACAGGAGATACTTTCACATTTAAAACGGTTACAAACTGCTAAACCTACAGGCCCATAGCAAAACTACTTAGTGATTATAAGGATTATTCGGCATAATGAAACATTTTAAGAGAAGGAAAAAATAAAAGAGTAAAAGGTGCACTTGTAAAGACGGTACGATCTATAGATTTGCAGGAACTCTTCTTAGAGGTGTTGTGAGAGAAAGAAAGACTAGCCACAGCAAAACAGTAATAAACTGACGACTAGATTGTCCATGCAACTTTCTGCTGTGATGCTAAGGGTGTTGTAGGCGGTTTTCAGTGTGTTGCTGCTGTTGATGTGGAAACGTCATGTCTTTACTACGGTTTCATATGGATTCCCAAAAACACAAACCTGCTGGCCTCCTTCATGAGCTGAACAGCGATCCGGATTCGTTTCCTGAGGAAGATGAGGAGAATGATGATGATGACCTCCAAAATGGCCAAGATGATGACTGCAGAGAGGAACAGGAGTTACTTTCACATTTAAAACAGTTACAAACTGCTAAACCTACAGGCCCATAGCAAAACTACTTAGTGATTATAAGGATTATTGTTCGGCATAATGAAACATTTTAAGAGAAGGAAAAAATAAAAGAGTAAAAGGTGCACTTGTAAAGACGGTACGATCTATAGATTTGCAGGAACTCTTCTTAGAGGTGTTGTGAGAGAAAGAAAGACTAGCCACAGCAAAACAGTAATAAACTGACGACTAGATTGTCCATGCAACTTTCTGCTGTGATGCTAAGGGTGTTGTAGGCGGTTTTCAGTGTGTTGCTGCAAAACACAAGACTTAAAGGTAAAACAAGTACCACGTCTTTAAACTTTAATGACAGGCAGAATCCCCGTAACAAGAAGATGTTGATGTGGAAACGTCATGTCTTTACTACGGTTTCATATGGATTCCCAAAAACACAAACCTGCTGGCCTCCTTCATGAGCTCAACAGCGATCCGGATTCGTTTCCTGAGGAAGATGAGGAGAATGATGATGATGACCTCCAAAATGGCCAAGATGATGACTGCAGAGAGGAACAGGAGATACTTTCACATTTAAAACGGTTACAAACTGCTAAACCTACAGGCCCATAGCAAAACTACTTAGTGATTATAAGGATTATTGTTCGGCATAATGAAACATTTTAAGAGAAGGAAAAAATAAAAGAGTAAAAGGTGCACTTGTAAAGACGGTACGATCTATAGATTTGCAGGAACTCTTCTTAGAGGTGTTGTGAGAAAGAAAGACTAGCCACAGCAAAACAGTAATAAACTGACGACTAGATTGTCCATGCAACTTTCTGCTGTGATGCTAAGGGTGTTGTAGGCGGTTTTCAGTGTGTTGCTGCGCATTTGATAGTGTGTTTGAGATGGCTCCTTATTAGCCCTAATTAAAAGACGACTTTATGATAACGGCTTGGGTTCATCCTTCAATTTTGTACTACAGATTACAGGCTGTAGTTTAATATTTAAGATCTTTTTCAAATTCCTAACCCCAAATATGAGCAATAGTAAGAGTGTGGCTACTCACTGAAGGCCAGCCAGGACTGTCTGATGTGCAGGTACACAGAGAAATCGGGCTGGAAGCCCAGCTGCTGTAGGGTGATATTAGAACCAGGCGTGTCCTTCAGATTGACATACTTTATGCTGCAGTGAGCAATACCTGCGTAAGAAACAGACAAATGATTGACAGTTTAACAATATACTAGACAGGATGAATGTACTAAAGAGTATGAACCATACCATACCATAGGCAACGACAGCGATGACCATGAAGATCATGACCCAGACCATGATTCCAGCCAGATAACGCAGAAGAACGATGAAGATCAGACTCAGCACCACAGCGATCAACAAACAACTGCACGAAGAAACAGATTAACACTCAATCACAGCAGGAAAGACATTAACTGAAATAAAATAACTATTAACTATTATGATATATTACACAAGTAACCACTTAAAGTAGTAAAATAAATCGAATATAAAACTAGCATAACTAATATAAAAATTATAGGCTGAAATACTAAAATTAAAACTGAGAATACCTAAAATAAAATTGAAATAATAATAACAACAACAACAACTACTAAACAGAAATATCTAAAATATATAAAAATAAATGGCAAAAATACACAACAAAATGACTAAAACTTACAAAACACTAAATATAATTATTAATTATATTAAAATAACACTGATCCAAATATTAACACTAATTATTTTTATTGAAAGATAGGATATATATTCACTAATACAAATACAATTTATTTTTTACTTACATTAGTATCCAGTACCAAGACTTTGTGTAATCCTCAAATATCTTCATTGCAACTTGACGACCCTCCATGACTATTGTTGCATTCCTTTGATTGTCAAAACAAATATGAATTTATAATAAATAGCCCTTGAATTGCACTGCAATTGCAATTGCAGCAGTGACATATAAATGAGCAATTTCCTTGCAATATGCATGATTGAGTAGTATAAATATGTGTTTACTTCATTCCAGCCACCAGATCTTTAGCGTCTCTCATTTTGTCTCCATCATTAAATGTTTCTTGATCGCCCACTGTGATGACATCACCCTTTTTGCCTAGAGATGGAAAACATCGCTGCAAAACTGAGAGAGAGGACAACAGGATTAAGAAACAGAATCATGAAAAATTTGTAATAATTTCCCATACAGTAAATATTGTAATAAAAAAAACAAAAGCTTTACATGGTTTGCTGGAAATCAGATATGCAGG